ATGCGATCGCCTGGAATACGCTTTCCTCATAAGACCGCTCTGTAAGTGGCCTGAGTTTGGCCAGCCTGCTATCCAGATCAGGATCAGACTTTACTGCGCGCAGCATGCTGTCGAAGGCCGGATTATACTGTGCCAGGCAGATATGACTGCACAGCAGACCAATTGCCATGCACAGGATCCACCAGGTTTTTCGAAGGTTGACGATGGGGAGACTGTAATGCATAGCATAATGAGTATGGGGTTAAATATAGTGGCAAACCTTAGCTGGTGCAATCCTGTATAAGGAATGTTGTGTCAGCAGACGGCCCGCCCGGCCCGGCAAGCTGCCTGTATGTGCATGAATTCTATTTCTTTATTATGGTAACCGTTTTGCTGACTTCATTAATTACATAACCGGCAAATAAGCATTTACGGTAAGCGCATAAAAGCACAATCGCTTCATTACATCCGGACAATCCGGATAGCGCTGCCATCTGCCAGGCTCAGCACATAAACACCCGCAGCCAATTGTTGAATGTCCAGCAACACTTCCTTTTCCAACACAAACTCCTTTATTACCCGGCCCTTCATATCTACTAATACAGCCCTGCTACCCAATAGCCCTGTTTCTGTGCAGCGGACCGTAACCTGATCAGATGCCGGGTTCGGGAATACTGTGACAACGGCACCATCCATACCATCACTTTTTACCAATACGGTACGGCTGTAGCTTTCCTGCCCGTTTGATTCCCGGATTTTCAGCCGGTAGTAATGATCGCCTTCCAACCGGGTGCGGTCCTCAAAAAGGTATTCACTGCCGGTAAAAATACCCCGCCCCTCAACTACGCCTATCGAACTAAACGTCTTCGCGTCACCGCTTCGTTCTACCGTAAAAAGTGTGCCTGCTTCTTCATGGGCCGTCAACCATTCTACCCGGTTGAGCGAAGTATTAATACGCCTCGCGCCAAAGGCTAAAAGTTTTACAGGTAAGGGAACAGCCGAACTGCTGTTCAGAAAGAAGCCGGAGAAGCCCGTTACCTGGAATGTCACCTCCCAGCGGTCAGCCAACGCGTTCCACAATACGGACTGGGGTGTGATGAGTGTTTGGGCAGACCCCGCGCCTCCCCGACCACTATAACTGCCAGGCAAACCACTGGCTGAATTCCCATGTTCCTGGGTAATCTGAACATTATTCTTGTTACCGGCCGCATCTGCCGCATCCAATGGCAAT